GGAAAGCAGCCCCCCTCCTCATCAACATAGGAACAAGGTGTTTTGGCAGGGTGTCCTCCTCAGCAAGGTGCCCCTCTCACATTGAAAGCATGTGGCCTGGTATTGTTTAGGGAAGAGGGGTGCACAAGGATTAGAGTCTGGTATGTATATTTAGGGGACCCCACTTTTTTGTGTTGTATAAAAAATAAGAATCTATAATCAATCATTTAAACTCCAGCAACACATTTCACATACCAGTTCAATATATAAAGATTGGCTCATCTTAAAAAAGCTTTGTATTTGGATTCATTAGTAGTTGCCTCTGATACACTTACATCCTAATGTGAACCTGTGCATTTCACATGTATAAGTAGGGAAGTTAGACACATGCTGCTGCATACCTGGAAGTACCAGGTAATTCTCTCCACTCCTTAAGGATGACTAGAGCAGCAGATGGGAAGATTAGTATTATCTTAGCAGTATTATAAGTTGCTGTGGGGGCTGGAATTAAAATGACCCAATTGTTTTGTCCTATACGGGGAAAGCACAAGCTCACATTACAGCATTCTGAGGTTAATTCAGCTCACAAAGGTATAGATGACATTTCTTACAGTAATATTCCTGGCCATGAACTCTGGAACTTCATCATTTGTTGGACTGATTACAATGTAAAAAGGCTTCTCCACTGAGCGATGTTTCCCATCAGTGACATAAAACATAAACTGGTCTGCTGTTGGCTCCATTCTTTGATGTCTTGACTGTACATAATTCACATTAAGGGATATGATATCTTTCAGCAAAAATGCATCTGTGGTGAAACAAAAAAGGAAAGTTGGTGAATATTTGAAAACTCAATTATTTGCACACAACAATTTTTAAGTGTATTTCTGGAACTTTCCTTTGACTGCAATATGCGTTATTGTCAATGGAGATTCATGCATGTTTGTAAACAGAAGCCTTTAGGAAACATACATTGGAAACGCTAGCAGATAGACTATGTCCATGCATGACCACAGGCAAACTAGTTATCTCTTTGGCACCTTAAGTTCTATAAGCTACACTGCAGGCTATTTTTGTGCTTGTTCTTTTTTAATACCATCTGCTGTGTATACATACTTTCACCATCACAGCTACAGATGAATAAAAATCTAGCTTCCAACATTTCAGTTTTGACAGATATTTTGCATAATGTGCCATGTTTAAATAAGGTAGCAGCATTTCTGGAAAGATAACAAAATTCCATTGTAGCTTTATAAAATAATGCCACATGCTGTGAAAAGTCTATTCTGGGAACAATACAATATGTTAAATTGTGGTGATCATTTAAGAAGAAACTCTGCATATTAAAGATTTACTTTTATTTGCTTTTTTAATGTTCCTTATCAGTCAGGAGCAGGGATGGACAACCTTCAGCAGTTCTGGGTTGTGGTTCGCTTGCTAAGTGACTGTGAAGGATTTTCAGCAACAGGCGTGTGAAAGCCATCTCCCTGTGACCTTGCTAAGGTTTGTCATCCAACTACAGTGTTTGTACAGTCGCTTACCAATGCTTATTCCCATGTTACTTTTCTCAAAGCCTGGAGATGGGAGAACGTTTTCAATGTAGCCATACTGAGGAGGTGATGCTAATATGAATTTCAAATTGTTACTGTCTGTGTCAGGATCATTGGCAAACAAGTGGCTCACTGAAAATGCACGTGACTTGCCTTCTTCAACAGAAAATATTTCACCTGTGCCGGAACAAAGCAAACCATTTGTAAGATAAAGATACATTTTTCTTTCCAGAATACATCCAAGATCATTTTGCCTGCTGTCTATGACCACTGATTTTTTATTGTCACCTCTGCTCCTTTCATTATACCTCTTGTATTGTCTGATCCAAATCCTAAATGCAAAATGAAACATCCTGGCTCAATGCTATGACTGGATAGTCTATGATAGCTGTCAGGCTACTAAGAAATTAAACATTTCCAGTGTATCTGAGCCCTATTTTGGTACTGTCTACAGCACAAACATAACATCAAATACATTTGGGTTTACCTTGATTTTTATTGTTTCTGTTTTGTCTATGCTCATGAAGTTTTTTTTAATTACAAAGACATATGAAATAATTCATTTACATTACTGCTAATATCAGGAGGCATCTGAAATGAATGCACGCAATTTTAAGAATGTAATATAATGTAGTTTTGACTTAAAACTTAGGGACTGATGTATCAACCCAGTGTATAAATTGATAAATTCTGTTGACGTGGGATTTCCGCTACTGGATGGTGCTGAGGGGCAGAAATTCCTATGCTCTTTAGCTCCATTCAGTGGAGGGAATGCCATGAAAATGGTATTCGCCCAACTATACACTAGGAAGAACATTTATACATGAGCCCCTTAATTAAATACATGGTTATTATTAAATGCTATACAAAATCTTCTTACCTATTGTAATAGATGGTGCCTGGTTATCTACAGGAAAAACTGTGATGTTTAGGTCATATACAGGAAACGAGTCATGGTTTGGCAGTAAAGGGTTATGATGTGTATTAAAACAGCATTTTATGTCCGCATCCAATTCAGCATCAGAAATAACAAGTGTTATAGTGTCAAAGCAAGGCTGCAATCCAATTTCTCCACCTGTTAGAATGAAATGTTTTTGATAATTAAAAAAATGATAAGCTTTTTAAAACTGAAACATGCAGAGCGTGTATTTATTCTTAAAATGAATGCTTGTTATTACCTTTCTTTACCATACAGGCCAATTTTATATACCTATCTAATCCTGGTTACATTATGGTGCTAGACTTCCACTACTTAGGAGCTAAGCCCAGCTCCTGGAGTTACACCCTCTTACCGGTCTCCCATCCACTAAGAGTTCTCCTTTTGGCCGCTGATGCGTTCTCACTGGAAAAGGGGGTGGAGGGTGGTTCTTACTACCGAAGCTGAAGAAGTTCAGCCCTTAGTAATAATATATACAGTATTATATAACATTATGAAGCTATAATCAGTGACACAAAGCAGAGGCTTCTCTTGCTTTAAAAGTAAGGGCTCACATCCAGGACCTTAAAAAGTATGTCAGTGGCATTTCAGATTAGGTTGGTTTTCTGCATTTATTCTGCCATTCATACCTGTATGCCTGTAGATAACAGTTCCTTGAAGTATATCCCTTTGGGAGAATCGGTCTACAGTGATTCCAGCCCTTAGGACAATACCCCAGCGAGGCTGACGAGCAATCATGAATGTAAGCTTCATATCATCACTGTCTGCATCAACAGCATAGATGTAATCCGAGGAAATCACCACTCCTTCACCTTCTGCACAGTATATGGTGGGTAAAAGATTGTCCTTCATAATTGGGGGTTCATCATTTACAGGGAAAACCTGCAATATATACATTTGTCTATTACTAACCTGGTTGTTTAGGAATATGAAACCTTTTCCTAAATTATTTTACAATCACTGTAACTGCTCCAATGAAAATGAAGCATCGCCCAAGAGAAATACAAGGTAAAGCAAACTGTGGGAATGGTTTAGAGTAGGGATGTTCCGATACCAATTCAGATACCAGTGCCGATACTTGGCATTTTTGCGAGAACTACCAGGGTTGCAGTGGTTGCTGCTGGGACCGGGCTCTGGCGCTCCACCACTGTCCTAAAATCATTAGTCTGTATTGTTTTTTAAAAAACTGTCACATGACAATAAACAAAAATGTATCAGTACTTGTATCTGTGCGTACTTGGGCAAGTATCAGTACTTGCCCTTCTACTTAAAACAAATGGTATCATGCATCCATTATATATATTTATGAAAAAAAAAGCATACATTAAAACAGGTACAAATGTTTAAATCCCAGGAGCTTCATGTGCTCTTTAAAAATGACAGCTGCCTTCTAACTTTTGAATTTTTCTCTAGTCTAGTCTTAGAGCTGGAAAAGTAGTGTACAGTACTTGGTGTCTGAACATCCCTAGTTTAGAGGCATCAATATTTATTTTTTCTGCCTTTCCAATACCAATTGTAAACAAAGGTGCCCATAATATGCAGAAAGTAAGTAAGTATTCATCTCTCTGATAATCCTAAATATTCATTTTAAAATATAAACAAGCTTTATCAATAGGGCATAAAGCAAGGTCTAGGCACAATTTCACACTGCATCCAGTCACCAGCCAATCAAAATACACATTTAACTGATCTAATTCTGCTATGGTGAAATTGAACTTACTTTCTTGGCAGTGTGAGAGCATTTAACATTTATGCCCTTACATTGTATATGTTTGTGTCTGTGTCATCTACATTACGCAGCAGAGGCATAAACAATGAAATCTCACGTCTGAAGCTACCATCATCAATATCATATGTGTCTAATACATTGGGGGTGTCCATACATACATGTCCATACAATGGGGTTGACTTTCTAAAGGCAAATAGACTGTTCACTGCAAGGGCATGGGGATGGGGATTCCAAGGGAATTTTCACTTGGCAATGGAATTTTATCTTAGTATTGTGAAAGAGATGTGTGTTGCTGACTTCAATCATCCAATCATATGCAAAGCATACATACTGTTATTTTTTTCATTGTCCTTGCACATGGTATTTTTTGCAAAGTGAATTTTCACCGCTAAGATAAGGAAAAAGTCAGTTGCCAAGTAAATAAGCTATTTGCCTTTAGTAAATCAAGCCCACATAATCTAAGATTCATACTTAGTCATATGCCTAGAAGGCAGAGGCTAAAACATCATAAACATTTTTTTGGCATTAAAGATGAAAAATAGTGCTTAGTGATATTTTTCTTTGGCCTTGTAAAAACCTTATGTGGCATAGTTTATGTCCCCAGCAAGAAATATATTGTTAATGTCCATACATTTCTATTTCATACAATGGAAATATTAGTACATGCCCATGGATTTATTTATACTTTTTTTTAAATGTCCAGGTTTAATGTTACTGACCTGTATTTTTAGAAGAAAGTCAGCTGAATTGATACCATCGGTAGCAATAAATTTAACTTCATCCCACAAGGATTCAGAACCATCATGCTGGTACCTTTGGTAACAAGAAAACATGTTAATTGTCAGTATACTGAATGGGAATGTATACTCTAGTGCAGCCTTTCTCACCCCTGTTAACATGGTGGAACCCTTAAAACAACTTGCAGGTCTCAAGGAACACCTGCTGATAACTAGTATATGTACAGCTCATGGGACATCACCATGAACAGTTAGTTGGGGATATAAATATATTATTATTATTATTACATAGTATTTATATAGCGCCAACAGTTTGCGCAGCGCTTTACAATATAAGGAAGACATTACAGTTACAATACAATTCAAGACAAGATGGTAAGGAGGGCCCTGCCCCTGAGGGCTTACAATCTAAAAGAGGATGGGGAAATGATACATGAGGTAGCTGTGGTAGCTGTGGGAATAGATTATGTGAGAATGTGAAGGTTCAGTGGTTAGGTTGAGGTGGGATAGGCTTCCCTGAAGAGATGAGTCTTTAGGGAACGCCTAAAGGCAGTCAAGGTGGGAGATAGACGGACAGGTTGGGGTAAGGAGTTCCAGAGGATGGGAGAGACTCTAGAGAAGTCCTGGAGGCGAGTATGGGAGGAGTGGACAAGGGAGCTGGAAAGCAGGAGGTCAATGGATGAGCGGAGGGGACGTTTAGGGTGATACTTTGAGATGAATAAAAGCAAAAAAACATGGCTTGTCTATACAGCAAAATAATTTTCAGTAGTAATAATAATAAGATTAAACTAATAATAATAATGGCCTGAAAAGAAGTGCACATCATGCAAACTGTAGTGCTTCCTCACATTGGTGGTTGGTGGAATGGACTCAGTTACATTGATGTCCAGTAGAAATGTGACCCTTACATTGGTGCTAGGAACCCCTCACAAAAGCTGAAAGAACCCCAGGGTTCTACAGAAGCTTGATTGTAAAAAGCTCCTGTAGCATTTTTTGGAGCTTGTTTACTGCTGTGTTTTACGGATATGAACAGCAGGATCTCAGGTTGCATGCACAGCTAAATGACTCACCAGAGTAGTACACACTCATCCCTCCTTACCACCTCAAATCTCCTGAGACTAGCAATCAGTGGAAGCAGTGTCTATATCTCACACTGCAGATATAGAGCTGAGGTTGCATACACAGTAGTGCTTAGGCTCACTCAAATACCAGGAATTCAAGACTAAAGGCACATTTTTCAGGGAATGGCCCAGACACAAATAACATTTCAAAATTTTCGCCTATAACATCTTCACTTTTTAATCAAGCCCAGAGGTGAACCCTGGCAGGTCCATGGAGTCACTGCTACAGACGTTGCCAGACCACTGGTACATCGTTTAACATTGCTTACTACATGAAGGTGCTTTACAGTCAAAAATGTTACACAAAAAAATAGAAACACAATCAAGTATTTTAACAATCCTAACCTAAGTTTTAGCATAATGAGGTCTTGGTAGCTGATTTGTTCTCCTTCATTTACAGTTCTTCCATCCAGCTGAACCATGCCATGTAATGGTGCCTTTTGAAGAATAATACCAAGATGATCCTGTGTTGTGTCCTTGTCAATGATGCGGATATAATCCATTGTCATCTGCTGAGAGCCGCCTTCCTCCACACTCATATCAAATGTAAATACCTAAGCAATAAATGTTCAGGGTTACTATGTTTTTAGCAGAAAATACCTACTCAGAATATTTAAGGTGAATGAATAATCAAGGGTATATATAGAAAAGCTAGAAATATTGAAATATTCCAGCAGACATGATTTTCTGTTTTCATTTATGAACAGTATGTTAAATAATAGATGTAATTTTTCTGGAATAAGATGTGTTTTTGAAAGTTGTTAATTGAAGAAATAGTTTATTTGCTATTTCATAGCCAGTATACCTATGGGTTAGTGTACATTGGCATTTGTGTAATAGTAAACTGTGTATGTCTCCACAAACACACAGGCACAGCAAGGCAAGGCACTCCCCTGCTCCTTGCTTCTCCTTCCTCTCTTCTCCATGTTAGCAGATGGACGGCTACTCCCTTGTGATCTTGTACTGGACAGGAAGTTCAGGGAAGCCAAGCTGAGAGAGTTGGAGCCAGATGATTGGAAACATGATGACTGTAAGTGTTTGGGGAAATGTAAGAGATACTTTGCTGGCCAATCTATATCTATTTGATCTGGATTTATTACTGAAAAAAGTATGAGCATTTAATGCTCTCTACTTTAAGGATGGAAAAAGCAGTGTGCAAATTGACAAATACGCCCCAAAGAAGCTCCTGTACTTCTTTGGGCGTAGGACGTTTTACAGCACGTTCCTACCCGCTGTAAAACTCCCAGGTGGGAACCATGCCCATTGGCAATCATTGGTTTTCACATGTTGAGCGTTTTACAGCGCGTAGGAACGCGCTGTAAAACGCCCAGGTGTGAACCAGGCCTAACTCCAAGTAGGAAGCCCAGATACTGACCACGCCGCCACAGATCTGCTTCCGTGCTTTGTATGGTCAGTTTGAAAGATGAAGCAAGTGGAACTGGAGTCATCACTGGGTATTTTTCAAAAACAAACATAATAGGCTAGAATTTCCAAAAAGTATTTGAATACACAAACACATTTTTGGGGTAACATACACTTTAATTCTGATTAGTTGCAACCCCATGGGCTCCTAGCATCTACTAAATAAGACTTTATATCTAAACTTTAAGTGGCAGTAAAACAAATATAAGTTCATTTAATACTTATAAATTTATTAGAATAATATGTTTCTGAATCAAAAGCCTCAGTTAATAAACAGACGCGTAGCATTAAGTGTGCTTTGAGGGTAGTGAATTGTACTGCTGTGAATCAGATTTTTTTTGGTCTCCAAAATAAAAGAACCTAATCTACAGGATGAAAGAAGCTCTTTTTTGCACACAGAAGCAGCAAAAACAAATAGTGTGCAGTGTCTAGTATCAAAGAGAGAAGTTCCTGACAAGGACAACTGACAGTGTAATTTTATACATAGGAATCTGTATCTATAGCCTTATTAATATCTACATATTAGTTGTTAATAAAAGAAAAATTTTACTTTGAAAAAATATCAGAATGAGGGCCCACTCACTCCACGGTTGTGTGCATAACACACATTTGCTTTGCTGCAATGCACTGTTAATATGCATTGCAGTGCTTTTTTTTCTTCTTTTTTTTAAACTTCTTGTGTTATTGTTATGCACTGAAGCACCATTGAAATGCACTGCATAAAATGCAACATATTCTATATTTGTTCAGGGCACACCAACGCAGCATGTTGGTGTAAACTGAAACAGAAGACATAAGGCAAATTAGCTTGTCTTTTTTTTGGCACTACATTCGGCATTGCAGCTCAGCACTACTGGGATGCATATTTGTTCTGAAGTAGCAGTAAAATAAATATAAATAGTAATTAATAATACAAAACTGTAAGCTGGCACATACCTGAGGAGGCTGATTGTCTACTGGAAGTAAGGTAATATTGAAGCAGATGCCATGCACTGTACCGCCGTGATGGTTACGGACTGATAATACAAATCGGACATGTACAGCATCAGGACCTATATCCTCCATTGGTGGCATGTACGCAACTTTCATGTGGCTCACTGCATGCTGAAAATACAAGTTGAATTAAAATACCTGTATGTAAATTTAAGCATCACCAATATTCTTCATATAACCAACATTAATGGACACCTCTTAACAAGTATAGGTTTTCAGTGTGTGTGGTTGGCTAGGGTTGTCAAGTGAAGGAGTAGCAGAAATCACTAGGTTAAAGAAAAAAAAGCAATTTTGGTTCTTACCCAAAGTTATTATATCTTTTCCCACTCTAATGTTAGCTGGAAGATAGGTCAGTTGGGAAAGAAAGCACAAACTTAAGTTGCTTAGTGATCATATCAGGTGCAGGTAAACATGTTTTTAAGGATCATTCACTGTTCCCTCTAAAGTGTTAAAGGAATGCATGTAGAGCTAACAATATCACACACAACCGGTGTCCAAACTTACGTTGTCTCTATAATTCGGGGACAGACAGTGGTATTATTTGAGGTTACTGAACATGTGGAAATAGAGCATGGGTTTAAAAATCAACAGGGTTATTCACGAAGCTGCCATAGGCAGCCGAGTGAACACCCAACCCGAAGTGAAGTGAGCCGAACTCTGTTCGGCTATTCACTTCAGGCTTGTGGGGCTGATTTCAGCCGTACATCGGCTTGCTTCGGTTCGGCCGAACATGCAGAAGAAGTTCGACTCAGACGATCCAACATTCGGCTCGGCTATTCTGCTAGATACCTCCGCGGTATCGAGCAGAAAAGTAAAACAGTCAAAAAAGTTGAAAAAAAATGTTTAAAAAGTTTAATAAATGATAAATCTTAAAATATAAATTAAGATTAAAAAAAGTTAAAAAAAATATAATTGGATAAAAAAAGTAAAAAAAAAAGATTAAAAAACAAAAAAACAAAAATAAAGTTCAATGGAAAAATAAAAATAAAGATCATTGGAAAACGAAAAAAGAATAAAAACGGAAACAATTGGGTGGAGCTAGCAGTGACAGCTAGCTCCACCCAATTGTTTCCTATTGGCCGTGACCTGCTAGGCCAATGAATAACAACTTGGTGGAGCCGTCCGTGATTCGTGATCTTCGGGTTTCACTTCGGCTCGACTGAGCCGCTCGGCCAGCTTTGGGAGCTGTATGGGCTATAGTGAATAGCCCGTACAGGAGCCCTTCAGTTCTTCTAAACGGACGGGCTCTGGTGGCCAATGCTAGCCGAAGGATCAGCCAGAGGTACGGCTGATCCTTCGGCTAGCTTTGTGACTAACCCTCTAAGAGTTCTGCAAGTGAAGGAGCTGAACATTGGAGAGAGAAATTGTGAAGAATTAACTTGTGTTTTGGGGTACAGTGTGTCAGCTAAGCAGTTTTTGGGGGGCTGCAACTGTAAAGATCTGTGGCATAGTTAGAGTAAGTAGAGTAATGCCCAATTATGTGCAAGGAAAATGTAAAAATATATGTTTTTCTTGCACATGATTGGATGATGGAAGTAAGTAGAGCTTCACCTAATTTACTAAGCAAAGGGAAAATTCCCTTGCAAAGTGAACAGCCTATTATTCTTTAGTAAATCAACCAAGCAGTATGAAAAGTGACAGCTGGACCTCAAGCCTGGAAAAAAAGTAAGTCATTATTTCTTATTTTCATTTATATTTTAAAAATGTATTTAATTAGGAATATATAGGTGATAATAAGAAATGTTTCTCAAACATGGTACTAGGAAATAATACTAAGTCCATCAAATCCAACCTATTGTGTGTGTGTGTGTATATAGGTCCCTGAGTCATCCATTCTTAAGAGTACCTGTACCCTTGTACATTATGGTCTCTCAGGAAATCGTCCAAAAGCTTCTTGAATGATTCCCGACTATTTGCGGAAATCACTGCTTGTGGCAACGAGTTCCAGACCCTAACCACGCGAACTGAGAAGAACCCCCTTCGCCCCTTGTGTTTGAATTTTTTTTTCTACCAGTTTTAGGTGGTGGCCTCTAGTCTTTAGGTGCCCATACACTGTGCGATTATCGCACGATAATCGAGGGAAATCCTACGATCGTACGATAATCGCAAAGTGTATGGAAGGCGTGCAACTGTTTTTACTGTACAGTCACATGTCTTTTGTCTAAGGAGCATGTTCGAAAACCAGCCGAAAATCTTACGATTTTCGGCTTACTCTCTGTACCCGTTCCTTTAGCCAGTTCTCTATCCATGTACACACCCTTTCATCTATGCCCATAGCTCTCAGCTTGTATAGTAAGCGTTTGTGTGGTACCGTATCAAAAGCCTTTGAGAAATCCAGATATACCACATCCACAGACCTCCCTCCATCCAGATCTCTACTTACCACCTCGTAAAAAGTCAGTAGGTTAGTCTGACAGGAACGGTCTTTCCTAAACCCATGCTGATTGTCGTTAACTATACCATTATCCTGAACAAATTCTACCAAGTAGTCCTTAATCATTCCCTCCAACACTTTACAAACCACCGATGTAAGACTAACTGGTCTGTAATTCCCAGGTTGGCATCTTGCCCCCTTTTTAAATATTGGAACTACCGTAGCCCTCTGCCAGTCACTCGGAACTCTACCAGTCATTAGAGAGTCCATAAAAATGAGGAATAATGCTCTAGTTATAACCTCGCTTAGTTGCTTAAGTATCTTGGGGCGCAGGTTGTCTGGTCCCAACGCTTTATTTGCATTAAGTAGACTAAGGGGTCTATTCACGAAGCAGCCGAAGGATCTAGCTGTAGCTTCGGCCGATCCTTCGGCTAGCTTCGGCCCCAGGGCCCCTTTGGTTCAGTAGAACCGAAGGGCTGCTGTACGGGCTATTCACAATAGCCCGTACAGCTCCCGAACTTAGCTCTCATTGCTAGCTCCGCACAATCGTTTTCTATTTTTTTTTTGTACTTTTTTGACTATTTTTCTGTTCTGCTCGGTCGCTCTGAGGGACTGAGCAGAACAGCCGAGCCGAATGCCACTCAGCGGCATTCGGCTATTCACTCACTACTGTTCGGCATCTATAAGCATAGACCGAACAGCAGCGAGTAGCCTGCCGGAGGTTCGGCTTACCCGATCCAGATGTTGGATCGGCTGAGTCGAACTCCTCCTGCACTTCGGGTCGTCCTCCTGCACTTCCAGTCGGCCACATGAAGCCACCCGATGTACGGATGATTTCAGCCGATATACGGCTGAAATCAGCCCTACCAGCCTGAAGTGAATAGCCGAACAGCGTTCAGCTCACTTCACTTCAGGTCGGTCTTTCACTCGGCTGCCTACGGCAGCTTAGTGAATAGACCCCTAAGTCTTTGTTGTATCCCGGGTTCCGTCAACCACTTGGCTATATTTTGTGATGAACTCTGTGTTTTATCATGGGCGTCAAACCCGTTTCCCTCCTGAGTGTATACTGAGGAGAAAAAAGTGTTCAGCACTTCGGCCCTCTCCTTGTCATTTGTGACTAACTTCCCGCTTTCGTCCTTTATTGGGCCTATCTGCTCCTTTCTCCCCTTTTTACTGTTTATATATTGGTAAAATTTGTTTTTTTTTTTTTTTTTACTAACTGTGGCAATATGCTTTTCGCACTCTATTTTAGCTGCCCGTATTACTAGTTTACAATTAGATACATTCATTATAAAGAAGTCTTGCTGTTAATCCATCTCAACATAGTCAAGTGTTGTAAAACATCAATGCTTACCTGGGTAAATGTCAGTATCATGTCAGCAGCGTGATCCTTTACAAGCCTGGGAATAGTTTCTACTAGGATAATCTTTCCAGCATCTAGACCACTGTACCTAGAAATTAGAGGAGAACATATTCATCAAGTATCAGCAACCATTATAAATTGTAATAGGTCTTCTTTAGGTATAATTTCTAGGGTTGCACAGATACCAAGTACAGTACTCGGTACAAGTACGATTACATGTACCGATACTTTTGATCTCCAAGACTACACTAGAGAAAAATTCAAAAATTAGGAGGCAGCTGTCATTTGTAAGGCACACACGGAGCTCCTGGGATTTGTACATCTCTGTTTTAATGTACGATTTTGATTTTATAAATATAAATAAAGGGATGCACAGATACCAATTTTGCGAGTACGAGTACTGGTACTTGCCGAGTACTTACAAGTACGAGTACTGATACCACCCCCTACAGACCAGAACAGTTTTTGTATTTCTGCTATGGGCCTGTTCATTCAGCAATAAATTAGTCATTACTTAAGAAAGCATTGTAATACATATATGATATACAAATTATTTTTATTTTGTATGCAATCTATAGACAAAAAAGTAACAAAATAAAAAACACACTTTTTTCAGTTTGATCAGCATTAGTTCAAAAAGTATAAGAAGGAGTTACTTATTAGACATGTGCACAGCATAAAAATTCATTTCAGACTAAATGAAAGAAAAGGGAAAAACCTTTTAATGTGTTTCGTTTGATGAAAGGAATAATTATGCTGTTTCGGAGGCAACGAACCTCTAAATCTGAAAGTGTACAACTTAAAAAAAAGCGTGGCGGCCATTTTGGCCAGCGGCATGCTCTGCACATGTCTGCCGTCATCTTGGTGCCAGGGCTCATGACCCCACCCAATGCCGGCGTCAGGTGACGTCACATTTTTAGGAGTCACCATCTTGGACACAGCAAGATGCCAGTGTCCATACAAAACGAAACAATATATTTATTTATTACAGGTATTTATATAGCGCCGACAATTTGCGCAGCGCTTTACATAGTTGCACATTCACATCATATATGCCCGAATATAGTTTTTCGTATATTTGGGTGTATAATAATTTGTTATTTAAAATTTGGACGAACTGCTGAATCAACGGAATTTTGTGATTCAGCCAGTTCCTCCAAATCCGAATGCACATGTCTATTATTTATGATTAATTAAGGTTAACTAAGGTTTAAGTGGCCTATTTTTTACAGTTTCTAGCAATATGAAAATATGATACGCTTGTTACAAATTGCAATAATGTGTGTTATGTTTTTTGGTATCTCTATAAAGCCTTATTACTATACTTGTACATGTTGGTAGCAAGGGTTCATTGTTACCCAGCATTAAATATATCTGTGGCAATATGTCAGTCAGCTCAGTGGGATAATAATTCACTAAGCTCATGTTTGTGAGCATCAGAATCCAATAATAATTGATTATTGAATTTCCAGGGACTTAAGAGAATACAATAACTATAAACAGGTGTAGTCACTAAATGCTGACACAGTAGTCTATCATTAGCCAACCTGCTAGCTGCAGAAGGTGCATTGGCATGGAAACCCATTTTGACCTAGCATTCTGAAATGTATATAGCACTAGCAGTCTATTAAGACATATTATGAAACATCATCAAAGGTTCCTGAAATTGTAAACTACAAATACACTGAATTTCCCCTTAATGTCCCATTGTTTGGTAGGCCAAGCACTAGAAAGTTGTTACCTATCACACATGCAAAGTAAAAAAGATTTCTCTATATATCAGATAAAAAATATGGAGACTATAGATGTAGTAATTACTGGTACCTCTTTTATAAGTCTTTCTTTTTGCAGTGGTGGAATGTATGAGAAGATTTCAGGAGGAAATATGAGGAATTTAGGAAAGCACTGTTGTTACCTGGATGGTGATATCCAGCACGGCGGAGTAGTCACAGTGTAAATAAGTTCTCTTTCTGGAGACTCGGTGTCTATGAAATGTAGATGTTTCTTTGTAATGTAAACAATTTTGGTTTCTTTAACAAGCACATGATGAACTGTTCCAGGAACTTCCTTGGGAAGCTGATCATCCACTGGTGTTATATGAATAATCACAGTCTACAATACAAAAATAAGTTGACTGATTATGATTTTTCATCACTACATGTTTGTCAAGCTATAATTCGTGATTGAGAAATACATTGAAGTTTATTTTAAGAAATGCAATACCGTGTGAGTGAATCCTTATTTTGCGAACTATTATTTTGTTAAATTGTTGAACAATGATATTAAACTGATGAATTGCCAAGTTATATTTCCAATGCTTTTCTCTGTTTAACGTCAAGGTACGTGTGTCTTATGCCAATTTTTGTTTTGTTTTGAATGGAGTGTGAAAGGGTTAAACTCCTTTTTAGGTTGTTGTTGCTGTCTGATTAGGGTAAACTAAGGGGTTAAACAGGAACACATTATATGGGGGGGGACCTGACATCATATGAGGATCAAAGGTCACACCTTTGATCTGCAGATGAATGGAACAAAGTAACAAAGTAAATACAAAGTGTTACTTTGTATATGTTTATCCTACTTCTGAGCAGTGTTTATGAAGACTGTTCAGAAGGTCCATTTTTTGACAGCAGCAGCTAGCAAGGGCAAGTCCACACCATCCCCGATTGAGGCCGGAACGCACTGGATCGTATTCTGGCCAGATCACTTCGTTTTGGGCGGGTGGGGCTGCAATGCGATCGGCTGCACGGGAATGCGTGGCACATCAGTGCCTGCATTCCAGTCCGGTGCAGTCATAAAAAATAGTGTATGCACTACTTTTTCTGACTTGACCGGAATGCAGGCACTAATGTGCCACGCGTTCCCAGGGGGCCGATTGCATTGTGGCCGGAGAGCGTGGCTGTGGTGCCATTGAGTTCAATGCAGAACCATGCCCTCTCCCGCCCCAAAACGAAGTGAGCCAGCCAGAATGCGATCCAGTGTGTTCTAGCCCTAATAGCTTCTATATTACACAACAACTTCTGAGTGTCATTTTGACAGCCGGGGATTTTTGACAAACATGTTGGGGGAGGGAGTGGCAGGTTAGAAAAGGACAAGGCGTGCTACATATGCTATGCCCTGTGTACTTTAAATAGGTTTTTTTCTGGATGTACAGAACAAGTCTAATGTCCACAACTGGTTAAATATTACCCAATAGCATATACTGTATACAGTACTGTGCAAAAGTTTTAGGCAGGTGTGAAAAAATGCTGTGAAGTAAGAATATGTTCAGAAATAAAAGTGTTTATAGTTTATTTTTATCAATTAACAAAATGAAAAGTAAATGAACAGAAGAGAAATCCAACTCAAATCATTGTTTGATGTCACCACCCTTTGCCTTCTTCTAGGTACACTTGTACCCAGCTTTTGAAGGAACTCGGCAGGTAGGTTGTTCCAAACATCTTGTAGAACTAACCACAGATATTCTGTGGATATAGGCTGCCTCAAATCCTTCTGTCTCTTCATGGAATCCCAGGCAGACTCGACAGTGTTGAGATCAGGGCTCTGTTGTAACCAAACCATCACTTCCAAGACTCCTTGTTCGTCTGAGATAGTTCTTAATGACATTGGCTGTATGTTTGGGGTGATTGTCCTGCTGCAGAATAAATTTGGGCCCAATCACACGCCTCTCTGATTGTATGGCATGATGGATAGGTATCTGCTTGTATTTCTCAGCATTGAGGACACCAATGATCCTGACCAAATCTCCACCTCCATTGGCAGAAATGCAGCCCCAGACTTGCAAGGAACCTCCATCATGGTTCACTGTTGCTGGCTCTCCAGCCCTTCTGTGAACAAACTGCCTCCTGCATTTCTGCCAATGGAGTTATCCATCATGCCATACCATCAGGGAGGCGTGTGAATGGCCCCAAATTTATTCTGCAGCAGGACAACAACCCCAAACATACAATGTTATTAAGAACTATCTTCAGCATAAAGAAGAACAAGGAGTTCTGGAAGTGATGATTTGGCACCCATAAAGCCATGATCTCAACATCATCGAGTCTGTCTGGGATTACACGAAGAGACAGAAGGATTTGAGGCAGCCTACATGCACAGAAGATCTGTGGTTAGTTCTCCAAGATGTTTTGAACAACCTACCTGCCATGTTCCTTCAAAAAACGGTGTACAAGTGTATCTAGAAAAACTAATGCTGTTTTGAAGTCAAAGGGTGGTCACACCAAATATTGATTTGATTTGGATTTCTCTTCTGTTCACTTACTTTACCTTTTGTTAATTCACAGAACTAAAACTATTAACACTTTTATTTCTGAAAGCATTCTTACTTTACAGCATTTTCTTACACCTGCCTAAAACATTTGCACAGTACTGTACATATAAAATACAGTTATTTGATATTAGATATAAGCCCTCCACTCTGGATACTAAAGTTCCCAAAATCCATAGAATAATGTCTGCTGTTCATATACAACATGTATTAGATCCACAATCAAGTGAAAAAACATTTGCTAAAATAAGCACCAGTGTTACTAGAGTTTTTAGCACTTATTAGAAGCACTATTGTGTGAAATGCAAGTGATATATATTTTGGTAAACAATGGGACTCTCTAGTACTATACAATACAACCTTTCCTTTCATATGGTGTGCCCCCTCCCATGTCTACATGTAGAAGGATAAGCCACCAGCACACTGGTGTCCACTTTATCTTCCTGTAGCGCCCTCTTTCAGTTGCCTTTCACCCCACTGTTTGCTGTGTTTTTTTTTATGCTCCCTGTTATACATTGACTGGACTCTGCCTAACTTTGCTGATCAAAGGGGACCGGTAGCTGGAACCAACAGGTAGGAGAACCTATTTCAATATTCAGCGGCTCCTTCGGGGGTGAGCGCTACATTCCCATAATTTATTATGGTCAGATAAACATGGTACCACATACAGATGCAACGTTTCGGAACCGCATATGGTCCCATTATCAGGCAAAGAAAAGTGTGAAGTTTTACTAAAACCAACAATACTAAGAGATGACAGTTATTTATTAGTTAACAGCAATTGCTGAACACTTGATGGAGCAGATAACAAGCAGTCCTTACATACCTGGGGACCAGAGAAGTTAGGGGGAGTATGACTGTCACACAGAAAAAATTCAAAAGAATCTTCAAAGACTTCTCCTCCATGATGCTTGTAATATATGATACCGTTAAACAAGTCTCTTTGCAGGAAAGTTGTAACAGGATAAGCTTTAATGAGAGGAAATAATACAGAATACAAGTTAGAGTGCTACAATACTTGATCATTAAACACAGACAAAGATTGCAATAAACTTAAAACATACATGTCCTATTTTATGCCTGAGTGATAAAAAAAAGTTATCAAGGAAAGCAGCGCTTCAAAGTAAAAGTATAGTAATTTTCAATATTCATATACATGTAATCAAACATCTACAAGTTATCAGCTTGATGTAAAGTATGTTAAAGATATTTTTTTAAAAAGCTGCTTTATTTGCTCCTTACATTTTCCAGGTCTGTTTTCTACTTTGCGATGCAACACCGTGATCGTGTGTTACTTCTCCTTTCCATGCTTCAGGTCTATAAATTTGCCAAGTAATTGTAAACAATACCCTACCTAAGTGGAATACATCTTATTTTGACAGATGATAAGGAGGGAGGTTAAAGGCAGTCAAAATAAGCGTGCCGAGTTTCCTCTAGTGGTAAGTGTAGACATCTCTGCATGTCATGCAATAACAAAAAATGGAAGACTATGCATTTAAAATCTTACTGGAACCAATTTGTGAAGAAGAGTTACAAATTATATGGGGTTTTTATTTCTGTCTGTAACTCTCCATGGGGTAGATTTTTTTCTTTAGTATATAGAAGCCACCTTTATTTTTTTTTCAAAACTAGACCATTACCTTTAAATTCTGCATTGATATCATAAACAATAATATGCATGAGTATTATAAACAATAATACTTTAATACCTAAAGCATTTTGTCCTGGTTTCTTCATGATGCTCCCAGCGGCTGCTTGCTTGGTTATATTGAAGCGTATGTAATCATCGCTCGAGTCCATATCAGAGGCACAGAGCATTGAGCCTTGTATGAGAACAGTTTGACCTTCTGGAAGCTCGATGACAGTGTTTGCAATTAGGAAAGGTGGGCTATCATCCTTAGGGAGTATGTTAATTGGAAACTTGTGTCGAATACTGTGGCGCCCATCAAATATTCGGAAAACGACAAAGTCTTTGGCTGTATCACTGTCATCATGATGATAGCAGACCACACCAGCCTGAATGTCTTTCACCGTGAACATAAATCCTTTGCCTCCTGATTGCAAAATTGACAGTTTTGTGTTAAAAGTGAAATTTTTCAATGTTACGGTGCAAATAAAAATTTAAAAAAAACATAACTGGTCTTGCTCTATTGCCTCCCTTTTACACTAACAAATACAAGAAGATGTCAATCAATGATAAAGATGGCAGGCTAGGAGGTAATTAATGTCCACTGTATATATCCCTAAAAGCACACTAATATTCAATTAAAGATATCAGATTTGTTGTATGTATACTGACCGACACAATAAATATGTTCCCAATTAAAAGAAATGCTGATACTTTTTTTATATACATCTAAGCATGACAACACACAATGTCTAAAAAACAACGTAAGCCTGTGTTTTTAACTCGGTTAGATGAAACAGCTTTTTAGGACCTTTTGTATTGTATTGTTTTGTATTGTCCTGCCCATGTGCACCTTGTTAGTTATGTGTTTAGATTAAGCACTGAGATCCTGAGGCATGCTGAATTAAGTTTTACTTTTTTAGAAGAACATTACATCAGAATACAGCATGATGAGGGAAACATAAATATAAGAAAACTTCCTGTGTATCATAAATAAGCATGCATATAGAGAGGCTAACATTGCACTACATGGCCATCTACAGCTCAGAAGGCATAACAGTATATCAGTACATTAGAATGTCCGTAATACAATCAGTACATAACAGCATATGCTGTTGCATTTCCAAAACACCTTTGCCTTTTTTGCTCATTTCAAACAGATCAGAGCAGCTGCCTGTGTTGCCTTTTTGTATTTGGTGCAGACACACACACTTGGAAGTCTTCAGCTACCTTGCAAATACAATTTATGGGCTTCTGGTGTGTTGCTGTAACTTTAAAGCGGAAATGGCAGCTTCCATATGAGCCTACTCTCTGTCTGTGCATTGCTAAAGTTGGGAACCTAGATACTTTACAGTTGCTGGGAGCTCAGATAGTTTACTGTAAGGGGCCACACTTATCAGAGGTGCCTTGATGTGACAGTGTTGCTTCTATATGTAACCCAAGTAGTTAAAACAGTTCAATTAGTTTTTTTGCTGGCTACCTTGAAAGTATATGGGTAGCTGAGTCATATTATTCAAATAGCCCTGGAATGTATAAAGGCAGATGTTGATAGTCCACAAGGCTATGTTCACTTTGAAAAACCAATCATGCATGCAGGGTACAGCGGCTGCATATAAATGGAACACCTGGCATTCCTGCCACAGGAATCCTTATGTTTCTGCTGCAGAAATCCCAGAACGCTCTGTGTGAATGAGGCCTAATAATGTTACATTACTTTAACACTGCCATACCAATGAAATTTTGCCATCAAATAAGGTGCCATGATCCATCTGCCCCCCCCCCATGCCCATACTCCCCCCCAGCATACTGTGTCACATCACATGTGGTGGAACACTACTTTAAGAACACATTGCCACACCGTCTCCATCTCCTACTTGGCTTCTGCTGGCTCTGGTGTCAGAGCTGCAGAGGAGATCACTCCGTTGCTGCACTGTGGTTGCCCGACAGGAGGCAGAGGCACAGTTCCTCGTGCCCGCAAATGAAAAGCTGTGCGTTGCCATGGAAGGAAGGAAAAAGAGTACCTCAGCCCTGTTCCGGACCAAGCCTCCTCCTGGCCGCGGGTCTTCGGGCAGTGCCCCAAGGGTCAGTCCGCCCCTGTCCGGAACATGTGGTCAAAACAGCGCAGGACCATCACAGAGTGCAAAAAAAAACATTCCCCTCTTTATGTGGGCCCATAGACAGTGGGCCCTGGGCAAAGGCCTACTTTGCCCTCAAAATAAAGCGGCCCTGCATGTGAGGGAAATGTAAATAACTAATTTTTTTTTCTTTCACATGATTTGGTGGTTACAGTGAACACAGCGTTATCCTATTGACTTAAATTGAGCATTCAATCATTTAAATCAACCCCAATGAAGTACATATCTGGTGCATTTAAAGTTTTTCTCTGTTAAACAAGTGACATCTTCAGTATAGTTTGCAGTTATAGTTTTCCTACTTTGTATTACAGAGTTTATTTGGCATCTGGTGTATATTTAATGTTAAATATCAATAATCCAATTGGAAATGGGATGTTGTCACTTTTTAAAACAATGTTTTGATACATATGTACCATAGCATCATATATGCGTAATCAATGATTTTATAGTCTGTTATCAGAAATACTGAAATAGCTGGTCTAAGCCAATAGAAGATTTTAGAGTACATTACTACAACCTAAGAATAGTTTATATACAAGCTGCTGACTAATATAAGATCACACATCACTGCCTTCAGATTTGTGAATGTCCACTGCCATTTGTCAAAGTTCCATACCAATTTATGTAACTTATTTGTGTAAAAGCTGAACCACATAAATGACAAGATTTTCTCTAATCTCTCAATTTTTCAGTTGAACGATTTGTTCCGGGGCTGTGGAAATTCAATTTATTCTGAATATTTAATAGTCAGAGGATTACAGGCTATCAACTTCAATCTGACATCTAGGTGGATTTACAAGTCTGCTATTTGCCGGTTTAGCTGAATTAAACAGGGTGACTTCTAACCTCTCCAGTGATCAAGGGGCTTAAAGCACATTGCAGTCCTGTACTTCAACTCAAAAGACAGCAAAAGTGTCATATTCTCAGTGTGGAATTTAGCAGATAATGAGTGACTTAGCAGAATTAAATATTTAACATTTTAGAAGAGAAGTACTTTGCAGTAGGGCCTAGTCACAGTCAAAGAGCAAAAGCAGGTGTGCGCTAAGATAGGGCTACTTACTGCTGCTAGTTCCTAGCACACTTGTACATTCAAAGCTCATAGGATATTACGTTTATGGGGAATGTTATCACACAACTCAGGACTAAAAGTTTTCATATAATTTAATATTTTCAGCTTTTCTGTTTTGATTAATGCTCTTTATCACTAAGAAGTAAGCACATAAACTAGCCACTAACACAAGAAGTGTCTTTAACCATTTGCTGAACGGGGTGTTAAACCCAGGGCCGGATTTACTCTCCCTGCTGCCCCAAGGCCAGGTTCTGCAATGCGTCCCCTCCCCTCCAATTTCTTATTATTTTTGTAAATTTTTATAATAATTTTTTTTCACTTAACTTGCTATTGCTATCACACAGGAGCTGGCTAACAAGCCCCTGTGTGATAGCCTTTGGAGGTGACAGGTTCTCTTTATTGACCCTGTCACCTCCAATACAGGAGTTCTAGCACAGCACAGCACTGTGCTGGAACTCCTTTCTTTTGCTGGTATTTAATCACCACTGCGGTTTTTATTTTTTACTATATAATGAAAAAAGTACAAACATTTTGAAAATGTAAAATACGGTCTTGTCGGTTAAATGGACACCAAACACGTCAAGCTTTAAAATTTGTGCGCCCGCGAAATGGCATAAACTACCATGCCTAATAAAACGCTTTTACCGCCCCTCAGTTTAGTGTTATCAGTGATTAATGGCCCTAAAATTATTGCTCTCACTGCGACGTTCGCAGGAATATTTAACATGTGTGGCATAATCGTTGGCACACCCGACGGGTATTTACATTTATAAGTGCGTGCACGCGGGGGCCTTAAAACTTTTTGGGTGTGTTTTTAAATGAGACTTTAATGAGACTTTTTTTTTTTTTACACTTAACTTGATTGCTATCACATAGAGGGCTAAAAAGCTCAGATACATAGCAAAAGACTACCTACCTCTGACAGTAATGCGTCCATGCTCTAGCCCATCTACAATGACCAGGCGGACAGCATTGATATTATCATTATCTACCACTTGAAGTTGTTCCCATGTGATTGGTCGAGATTGACCCTCCAAGAGATCAAGACCTAAATAGAGTAGATAAACAAAACAGTGCATGAAATTGCATACAGTTCTACATTTAGGGATTGGGAAGAACTATTTCATACACAACATTTTTCTGTAAATGTGAAACCAATTATCCCAAAGTTGTCAATGTATTTTTCTTTGCCATTGTATTAGTTTTATTTAGAGAAAAAGACCAATTAAAACATAATAAAATAAAATAATAATACTGTAACAATGGCTTAAGTCAATCAATTATGTGGGCATAATTTTCTTGAAAAATAATCAGGAGGTGCTGTAACACCAAAGAAACTTTAAATAGGTAAATAACACCCTTCTGCTAAAACAATTAGCCGATAGAGCCGATGTGTGTCAGCTTCAGTGTCACATGTCAGCTCTTACTATCGGGATGAGTGTATTTCATAATTCTCCTTTAAACTTGGATAGGTGTATAAAATGTAAACCATGATGTTGTGGTCAAATCTGTGTGTAATATAAACATTTTTGAGGCCACAAGGGTACTCCAGCAAATATATCACATATTCTGTTTCACATTTCAAATGATGAGTTGTCTAAATTTGATCTGAGATTTTAAAAAAAGTCTGGTTTGTGTTCTTAGAAATTAACCCATATGATTTTTTTGTATATGATTTTTGGTAATGTTTTTGTCAGTTCTGGATCCAGAAAAATTACATCTAGCTTTCATGGTAGAGTATATTTGAAATAAGGGTCTTGTGCTAATAGATGTGTAGAAACGTCACCAGCACGACAGACTTAAACGTCAGTGCAAATGAAGGGGACCCTGCGTGACCCCGAAAGCGTTTGATGACACTCTGCGTGATGACTGACATCAATAAATGGATTTGCACTGACATTTAAGTCTCTGTCGTGCTGGTGTGCTGGTGACGTTTCTACACAAGACTATGCTGAATGCAGCGCCATCCGCAGTCCTTGCGAGCACCCACAAATACGTATGGGAGTTCCGGTAAGGGGTGCTACAGGTCCTTGTAGATTGTGCTAATAGGTGCCACTATTCCTAATGATTAAAAGCCAGTTTTGGATAGCATTTTTTGCTGTTTGTGTCTTGCTGGGGAGATTTTCCTTTACTTTTTGCCAAACAAACAGAAAGTGAGGGGGACCCCCTCCTTAGACAGCTGTTTTTGTTCTGGTGAAATGTTGGAATTCCCATCACCATTGCATCCAAGACAACTTAGGTGAATGTCCCCAACATGGACAGAGACAATAACCCAAACTTGACAGAGATTATAATCATTTTCCACTGTATCTGTAACAATAAGAATAACTTTTTGGTTTTAGATATATTTCAATTAGATGATTTGAAGGTAAATTGAATGCCCCAAGGGTTAGCATTTGGTCAAAAAAGCAATTCCTTCTTCTTCTTACTCAGATATAATCACAATGCAATCTATGTATCTTTGGTAAAGGACGAGGTTGGTTCCAAATGGGTGGACTAATTCCAGAAAAGTGGATTCTATGTATCTCATAGAGAACTTGGATTGCATGGTGCAAAAACTGCTAACCATTTGTAGTTTTAGGGCAAGCAGACCAGTGCAGGCAGTGAATCAGATCAACTCCAGCGATGGAACCTCAGGGTTCTCACGTTCAATACACTATATTGGATGTGGAGACTGACAAGTTCTTAGACCACCAGAGTGAAGGAGGAGAGAAGCTGCAGTATATCTATGTCATTTGCGACCCTAGATGAAAATGAGCACTTACTGGATAGCCCTACTGCAAGGGTTAAGATTTCATCTTCCCGGAGTTCTTCTTTAAAGTCGCTATTCATACACTTTAAATAGCTATGTGCAAAAAGTCCCAAAGTGTCATAAAGTGTAAATACAGTGACCCTCATCAACTGATAATAATCATAATAAATAAATGTATGATTTCTGTGGTTTGATGCCATTTCTACCTAGACCTCTTTAATAAAAACTTGAGTTAAAACATTAACATTTTTCAATACAAAGAAAATCAGTATCTCACCCATATTCCAGGATACTCGAGGGGCATTTGTGTCAGCTGTTCTAATGGATATATGAACTGTGATAGGCAAACTCCTTTCAAAAAAGAAATCATGAACTTCAACCTCCACCTACAGAAAGATAAAGTCATAGGTTTAATTGCAATATTTTACAAGATGCAAAACTTTTTAATAAATGTTATTGATTACATTGGAATAAATGCACCAGCATAAAATACAGGTGTATAATATATGTGTAGAATTAGGAATTAATCCAAAATGTGCCTTTTGACTACCCTATATTCTGCACCCTACTATGCCTTATATGGCTCAAGAAGAGGATGCAGATGAAAATGTAGGGGGAAGCATGTGTTTTGTTAATAGGGGGTGACTAAATATACTTTGTTGTTTATTTGACCACTTACGGCAGTGATGGGGCAAAAATGTTTTGTTTATGCTGGTGCAGCAACATTCATGTAGCAACAGCACATCTATATTTATAGCTGTTATCCTTCATCAAAAAACATGTTCAAACTAAAGATTCCAAACACTGAATTAAATTAATCCAGCTTAGTGAGTAGTGTGTATCTAGTTCACCTTTGTATTCACTATAAGGTGTTTATCCCTTGCACCCTCTAATTAAAGGCAAATAGGCTGTTCACTTTACAAGGGAATTTTCCCTTAGCTTAGTGAATGTCCCAAAAATTCACTTTTCAAAGAATATCCAATCACAAACAAGGAAGATATAAAAAAAAAAGTATTTTTTCTTGAACACGATTGGATGTTGACAGTCAGCAGAGCTTTACGTTATTCACTCTGCTAAGGGAAATATCCCTTGCAGTAGATTGCATTAGCCTCATGAGGAATTTGTGAGACTCTGTGACCCGGCCCCATTAGCAGGTGGATTTTATCTGCCTAGAGCACTGTGCAAACTTGTTTTTAGACGCCAACATACTTTCACAGATTACCAGTACTTACCTCCAAATTTCTTCGTTCCGTGTGACTACTGTTAGGTGGCTGATATCCTATGAGCATGTCATTGAGATCTTGCCATGTAAAGGAGGTAATGGGCTTGGTATGGTCACTAAGATGGGTGATGTATCCCTCTCGTGGAGGGTCTGTGATGTTGAAGACCAGCAAAGGTTTCTTTGTTTCATCGTCTACTGCATCAAGTGTTGCTGTAGTCAGAGGAGTAAGGATGAACTGATCCACTTCCAAAATGAACATTGACATGAAGGCAGCTTTTGGGATCTGGTTGGGCACTGCATCTCGGATGTGGACAGGAATCCAGGCATGTTCTGACTGCAAAAATTACAAAAATATTTCAGTACAAAATGTCATATCGAATGATAGGTCATCAAATGTAAGAAAACACAGTGGGAGGAATTTATCAGCACTGGAGCAGACACAATCTGGACCAGCGGTGCATGGCAACCAATCAGCTTCTCTTTTCAGTTTGTGCAGTTAAGATTTAAAAATGAAAGAGAGAAGCTGATTGGTTGCCATGCACAGCTGCTCCAGATTTTGTCGGCTCCAGTTTTGATAAATTCCCTTCAATGCATTCATAAAACATGGCTGCAAAATGGAATTTAAACGCCATATTAAAAGGAGGCATAAGGGGGTTGATTTACTAAAGGCAAGAAGGCTGCTCCGCTTGCAAGGGATTTTTTTACTCTTTAGGGGAAGGTTCCTTAGCTTAGTGAATGTGGTGAAAACCCAATCATGTGCAAAAAAAACCCCATCAAAACAGTATTTCTTTCTTGCACATTATTGGATGATGGAAGTCAGCAGAGCTTCACCTCATTTACTAAACTAGGGGCAAATTTGTTTGCAAAGTGCAAATTTCCTTGCAATGTGATTTGAATTTAGTAAATCAACCGTCAATTTGAAAAAGAAATGCAAATAAACCGCATAAGCCCTATGTGTAAGTGCTACAAACATTTTCAGCCCTCTGCCCAACATACACATTTACATCAAAATAGGAAAAAAAAAAAAAAAGGAAGGAGAATGCGACCAGTGATGAAAATGGGCAAATCAGACAATTATCAACTTTTGTTCAAAGATTCTCTTTCCAGGGGATGTCATTTGTGAGCAAAGAGTGATTTTGTCGCGTACTTACAAATCTAATTTTTTCATTAAATAAGATCAACAGTACATTAGCCATAAACTGCTAAACTAAAAATCAATTGCTAATATTTATGTTCATAAATTGCAAACAACCTATTATCAGTTGCAAAATCAATAGCAATTTCTAAAATAAATGAAGCATGCAGGGCAAATTTACAAAACACTAGAGCAAAGCTATTGCCCAGAGCAACAAGTAAGGTTTAATTGTTTTCTTCTATGAAGCAAGATATTTATTTGATTGATATTGTTATCTGCTTTTGTTTGTGTTCAGGTTTTTGTAAATTAGCCTAATTTTTTGAATATATATCACTAACTTAATCTGCTCAGTGCACCCCGCGTTTGATGCCCTCTTACAGAATGCAGTAAAATATGATATAGTATTCTGTGTTGTTATACTCTATACAAAAGATAGAACATTTCATTGTTATTTATCAGCTACGCATATTTGTCTTATGCTGTAACAAATATTTAACAAAGCACCATCTGGATGACTGGATCCACTGACAGATGTACAGCAATACAAGAAAACAAATAAACAAAATCATAAGACGCAAAATACTTTAGCTACAATGCTTTATACCCTTCAGTATCATATACACAATATGCTATTTTCCCCTAATCTTTGGTCATACATGCTCATGCATTAACTTGATAATTCTTACATATCAAAGACAAAAGTAAACATAGAAAATATGTCTTTAATCAATCTTTTATTTATTTTTATGTGTCTGACTTGATTAGAATAGCTAAGTTAGTTTATGTGGAGCATTATCAAAAGGAACCTGATTCCTTTCTATCATGATTCATTAATAGTGCAATTATATTTGTACAGACATTGAAGATGGAAACACATGTGTGAAAACAATGATCACTTTCCAGAAGATTCATAGTATTAAAAAAAAAATCAGCCTAGAGTATGTAGGGTCAGACAAAAACCAGCACTCCTGGAACTGAGATCAAACAAAGATGTAAGGAATACACAGAAGACCCTTCCAGAAAATACATCAATAACTAAGACACTTTTTCTAAGACCAGATACCCAATAGAGGTTTGTAATGATGGACTTTATCGTCACTGCCAAAAAGGAAGGTTACATGAATAAATAACATAGCATCAAAATGACTTCAACAACTGGAAAAAAAAATCAATCGAAGTGCTAAGGAACGTATGCCAAACCAAACATAAGTTTGGAAAACCACTCAATGGCTGACAGATTGGAAAAGACTATTTTATATTCCGACACCAAAAATAGAAGACCTGAAAGAATGCTCAAAATATCAAACAATTTCCTTGATATCACACACCTGCAAGATTTTATTATTATTAACACAGACTACAACCTGATATTTCCAGAGAATTGCAAGTTGTACACGCTAGATTTAGAAAAGGCAAAGGAACCTGACACATTATTGCAGATGCATGCTGGATAAACGAGAAAGCCAAAGACTGAAAGAAAGAAGTCAACATGTGCTTCACTAAATACAGCAAAGCTTTCGAAAGTGTGAAATTATAGAATATCATAGGTGTGCGCACAGGGTGTTCATGTGCACACATGGCTGGTGGCATGCTGGTGGCAAATGGGGCTCTAGTGATCCGCAGCCCCAGGGAGCCTGAACACCCCATGAGGCTGTTTTCCATTGTGCTGTTGCTCTACGGCGCCTTGCTGCTCCTTAGCCCGGCGGTTCAGAGCTGCGGGCTGGGCAGGGTGGTGGGCAGGAGGCAAAGTCCTGCCAAGCTCACCCCACTCTCCTACAAGCAGTTCAGCCCCATTGGTCGCCCCGCAAGTCGGGGCACTTCAAGGATCTAACCCGCAAAAGGGCAGATCGTGCCGGTGGCCAATATGGCTGCTGTGCATTCTGCAAACGAATTTATGTATACCCGAATATAGTTTTAGTATATTCTGGCATATTCTGGCATATTCTGGCATTTGTTATTGCGGATTCGGACGAACCGCCGAATCAACTGAATTTCGTTGATTTGCAGGTCCGTCCCAATCCGAATGCACATGTCTACTATAAACCCAGCTTGGTTCAAGATCAGCAAGTTAGAGAAGGCTACATACTCTCATCATACTTGTTCAACCTGAATGCATATTGAACATATCTTCAATATGCTTCGAAAAAAATGTTCTGCCCCGGGCGCCCATAACTCTGGTTACGCCACTGTGCTCATGACACTATGCTTATGGCTAAAAATGTAAAGCACTTCAAGAGCCTCATAAAGAACGTTAAAGAACAGAGTGAAAAGATGGAACTTCAGTTCACCTTTGAATCATCTCTGAAAGAAAGCTGCCTATGTAGTCAAGCGATCACAGTAGGCATGATAAAAACTGTGCAGCTGTTATTGCACATTATGATGCTTTTTGACATTACAATGTGCATCAACAAATGTTAAAACGCGTCGACGGACGTTGACGTGCATTTTGATGCACTTCCATTTATTCAGGGGGAAAAACACATACAGGGTTATTCACAAATGGGTGAAGGGTTTGGAGAAGGCAGGAGAAGTGAACAATCTAGGACAACATAGCTGAATTGGAAAGTGAGCTGAATTGGAGCATTTTTCCATATCAGCTATGTTGTCCTAGATTGTTCACTTCTCCTGCCTTCTCCAAAACCTTCACCCATTTGTGAATAACCCTGATAGAAGTAAATCAGCCCTTAGAATATTGCAGACAGCAATGAAAACAAACTGAAATTGATCATTCAACAAAGCCCAACCTTTCACTGGAACCCAGATGGCTAAAATACACCTCTCTTATTTTGGACACATTATGAGAAGAACCAAGACACTTAAAGTAGACATTTACCCCCTTTCACTAAAAATCACATCAGCATGCAGCTCTGCATACTGATATGAAATCATCTTACATGCATTAGTTAAACTAGTTACTTACAAATAGAGTTCATCCACTTCCTGGTCCACTTTGGCACAAATTATGTACTTGTGCCCAAGTGTTGCGTCCTGGGAAGATTACATCAGTAGAGCATTGCTGAGAAATCTCATCTGTAATCTCATGAGATCTCAGGGAAAAGCATTTTCCTCCACTGAGCCGATGTGCATGCTAACATGTCCTAGTCACATGTGCCAGAGTTCCAGGAAGTAAAGGGATATATATTAATCTGCCCTTAGTAAAAATGGCCACTGCCAGAAGACTGGGGAAGAAAAGAGAAATAAAGGTATGCAAAGAATACAAAGCCGGCAGTTGTCTAGCAGTTGTCTAGAAGTAATGTGTTTGTAGATTGTCATTACTAAACATTTCTAAAGGTGTCTTTGTTGTTATTTTAAAGAAATGGTAAAGTTCCTCTGTAGGAAAAAAACAATTAAGCTTGGAAAAGTTGAAGGGAAAGAAAAAGAGTACAATCAGCAAAACGGTGGCTGGGTACAGTTACAGAAAGCATGAACATAACATTGCAAAGATCTAAGACCCAGGTAGACAATAGAGTATCCAAATCCATGTGGTCACCAGGAGTCATCACTGACTTGGTGGCATTTAATAATAATAATAATTATTATGTCACAGTGTTTTTCATGGCTTTGTCCACTATCCTAAAATGAGGAACAAACCCCGTGGTTTTTTTTTGATTTATGTTGCAAATGATGACATTTAAATACCTTGTTTTCAAAAGGCAATATTGTACTTTGCAATGCTGAAAAGTGACACCCTTTGACCATTCCTATGCTGTTCGGCTCCATCTAGTGGCCACAAAGTGCTGCGCAGCCCCACCTGTCCTCGGGCTGATAAACTTATAAACTGTCAGCCCAGCTCTTCACTGTGTAAACGGATTAAATCAGCCCCATATTGTACTTTGCTTCTTAGTTGCACAGTGCTCTTTTTTATCAATTATCTAATGATAAGATAAAAACAGGTTGTTTACACTGTAAGTTTAAATGTAAAGGATTTTTGTAAAACAATTGACCCTGAGCAGATACATCACATATCAACAAATGTTGCACATGATAGCTGTTGTGACATTTAAAGATTTCCCTTTCAGATACTAGTTATTTATTTTGTGAAGCACAGTACCTTGTACAAGGATCTGCTTCTTGTGTCAGTAAGATCAAGCCTGATGCTAATATAATCAATACTCGGTGATGGGGGGTCTAGGTGCTGGTACCTGATACCCATCAGGAGGAAGTTCTCACAGCTGGTTTTTATGATCTTTGACAGTTTATTTAGACCTGGAATGCAGTCTCCACGCTTGCACAATGGACTCGGCTTCTGGTCTGGAAAAAAAAAAGATTTACTTTGGCATCCTCATGCAGTGCCTTACGTCCATTGCTGAAATTCATTGAACAGTTCTTTAAATCTAAACTCCAGGCAGATACAAAAGACAAATATTATTGCAACTTTGTAGTCATAAAAAAATCTCAATGTATTCTTATTTAATGTAAGGAATTGTAAGTACCTGAATTCAGCTTGGTATCAGCTTCTTGATGTCTATTCTGCAGAGTGCAGACTGGGAAAATTAAAAGCATCAGATGGAGCCCATTATGTGTGCTGTCACAAGAGCCCAAACTCTCCTACGCGCTCACTCTCCTATGACAGCAAGTCAGGATGAAGTGCTGGTACAAACAGTCAGAGATCAGTGATCACTAACTGTTTGTAAATAACAACATAGTATGAGTTACTATGCACCAGTTATGAATTAATAGGAAGTGATCTACATTACTTCCTGTTCAATCATAATTGTGTACATAGTAACTCACACTATATCCACAAATTATGAATGAACAGGAACACTCAGTATAGAGGATTCCTGTTCATTATAACAGGGGGCTGCAGAAAAAGAGATTGAGGACTCTGTGTCCTCAATCTCTTTATTTTAAAAAGGGAAATATCAGGGGTCTGTTTAGACCTCTGATATTTCACCAAAGCCCCCAGCAGTGAAGTTAAAAGATAAAAATATTTAATAAAAATAAGTAAAAATTAAATATAAAAAAATTAAAAAGTTTGTAAAAAATAATACAAAATAAAATAGAAAAAAAACGTAAAAAAATATATTTTCGGTTTTGGACTGAATGTTTTTTATTTTCGGTTAAAAATTTTCATTTCGGTGCACCTCTAGTTGTAAGTGCACATGACACAACATATGATTTTGTTACTATTTAAAACCCAATAAAAATATTAAACCAGTACTTAAAAATGATGCTGTAAAACACTATACTTATTGAGTTCACTTTGGGAATAATGTCCCTTGACATGACCCTTGTTTCGGAGTGCCTGCATTTTTCATATTTTTTGTTTTCCTTACTGGAGCTACTGAAGTAGCTAGATGGATGGTCTCCCCGTGGCTGTTCTTTCACAGGATCTCCAGTGACCAGTTGTCCGTGAGCTGGCAAATGAGATTCCATATTGGCCACTCGAATAGTGCACTCCAGATTCATCCTTTTTTCATAGTCTAAGGACAATATGTTCTTATCAATAACGTTTGACAGCCCATAAAATTCTGTTACTTCCATATTCTTGGGTCCCAGCTTTACAATATTACAATCTGGTTCGATTAGCTTCACCCTAAGTATAAAGTTTTCAGTGATGGTTTCATTTTCTGTAAACCTGCAAAAAAGCATATTTATATAGTTTTTAAATCGTGTTACAAAATAACAGGTCAGTCATACAGTTTCTTTGGTCTGTAATGTACAGTAATGATAATAAGAACTTAGGGACCGTTCATACCAGGTGCATTGAGCTGCATTGATTTCCATTGATTCACACAGACTCAATGTAAGGTCATATAGAAAACAATTATTCTCTGCATGCCCTGTTTACACCATACATGTGTGGTGGTGTGCAGCATGTCTGCATCTTTACACAGATTACTTAATTTCAATGCAAAACGAGGATTGCGACTTGCTGTGGTGCATGAAATTAACCCTTGCACCGTTATCAGGACAGAATGTGAAGGAAAATCCAAAATATTACAGCTGTCACCTCAATAGGAATCAATAGGAAATCTTCCAATGGTGACACCTGTTTTGGTGATAAAAGGACAGCAAAACAAAAAAACCTGATGTGGGTATTAACTTGCTCATACTTTATCCAAACCTATTAAAAAAAAAACATTTTGCCTTTAGATATACCTTAAGTATTAAAAATAAATTAAAAATTGTTAGGTTAAACTCTATGCAGCGTCTCTCCTATGAGAAACTACTCTCTTTTAGTAAGTTTCTGCACTAAAACACACACACACACATAAATGCTTTTTTTAGGGTATGCCACAACCATTAAATATGTTTTGGCATGCCGCTATTAGCCTCTTCCCCTACCACACCCTTGCCCCCCATCCTCAGGCCCTCTGATTTATTAAGTTTCCCAGGTATTCAAATATACCAGCAAAACCACTGCAAACAGAGTTTTTACTAATGGTACATCTCTGGTTAAAACACTACATGCTGTAGATTATACACATAATATTAATTATTCATGCCTATAATATACAGCATTCACTTTTGTGGCACTTCATCAATTTTTGTGAGAGCACAACCAAGCATTACACATATAAATGGGGACATTCCTCCACTCTGATAGTTATTCTCAGTGGGCATTCCCTTGCTTTCTGAAAATGTTGTATATTGATAAATTAAAACTGAGGAGCAAACCTGTATAGCCTGAGCATAACATCATCTTCATGTAAGATGGGGCAGCCATTGTGAACATACTCTACTTCTTTATCCAGGAAATGACAGTCAAATACCTAGAAAAAGTCAAACATAACTATGATCAGTATTTTACTGAAAACTTGGTATTTATTATTCTTTTTTCATAATTGCTATTTATATAGTGCCAACAATTTTATGCAGTGTCTTACATACTGCACATTCAGATCAGTCTCTGCCCTTAAGGAGCATATGAGCTAAGGTCCCTATCCTCTATCTCGCACACACTAGGGCCAATTTAGACAGGAGCCAATTAACCTTCCAGCTAGGGTTGCCACCTGTCCAGGATTCACCCGGACAGTCCAGGTTTTGAATACTGTGTCCGGGTTTCATGGCAGCATAAACCCGGACACAAGATGACAGGCAGACAGGGGCAACTAAAATTAAGATAGGGGCTACTGGCCCCCCACTAAATATAGTCTCAACTGTGATATTTACATATGAATGGGTTCCCAGGTATTCAAATATACCAGCAAAACCACTGCAAACAGAGTTTTTACTAATGGTACATCTCTGGTTAAAACACTACATGCTGTAGATTATACACATAATATTAATTATTCATGCCTATAATATACAGCATTCACTTTTGTGGCACTTCATCAATTTTTGTGAGAGCACAACCAAGCATTACACATATAAATGGGGACATTCCTCCACTCTGATAGTTATTCTCAGTGGGCATTCCCTTGCTTTCTGAAAATGTTGTATATTGATAAATTAAAACTGAGGAGCAAACCTGTATAGCCTGAGCATAACATCATCTTCATGTAAGATGGGGCAGCCATTGTGAACATACTCTACTTCTTTATCCAGGAAATGACAGTCAAATACCTAGAAAAAGTCAAACATAACTATGATCAGTATTTTACTGAAAACTTGGTATTTATTATTCTTTTTTCATAATTGCTATTTATATAGTGCCAACAATTTTATGCAGTGTCTTACATACTGCACATTCAGATCAGTCTCTGCCCTTAAGGAGCATATGAGCTAAGGTCCCTATCCTCTATCTCGCACACACTAGGGCCAATTTAGACAGGAGCCAATTAACCTTCCAGCTAGGGTTGCCACCTGTCCAGGATTCACCCGGACAGTCCAGGTTTTGAATACTGTGTCCGGGTTTCATGGCAGCATAAACCCGGACACAAGATGACAGGCAGACAGGGGCAACTAAAATTAAGATAGGGGCTACTGGCCCCCCACTAAATATAGTCTCAACTGTGATATTTACATATGAATGGGTGGCACTATTTACATATGAATAAGCCACAACTCATTCTCCCATTAAAAATGTCCGTGTGTCACTAGAGTGTTCGGGTTTCACTTGAAGAAAAGATGGCAACCCTACTTCCATCATATCTTTGGAATGTGGGAGGAAATCCACACAATGACAGGGAGAACATGCAAACTCTATGCAGAGAGTGTCCTGACCAGGATTTGAACTAGGGATGCACCAATACCGATACTAGTATCGGTGCCGATGCCGAGTATTTGGACGAGTACTCGCCCAAATGCTCCAATGTGCTGCCCAGCTTCCTGATTGGTCGGAAGCTGGCCAATCAGGAAGCCAGGCACCGTGTAATTAACGCGGTGCCCGGCTTTCTGATTGGTCGTGAAGCCGGCTTCATGCTCCCTCGTCACCTCATGACGATGAAGCCAGCTTCCCGGCCAATCAGGAAGCGGGGTAGCGCATCTTAAACAGCACCCGGCTTACTGATTGGCCAGAATGCCGGCTCCATGCCTTCTCGTCACCTAGTGACGAGAAGCATGGGAACTGCTTCCCTGCTAAACGAGAAGCCGGGTGGCGAGTCTTTACACGCTGCCCGGCTTCCCGGCTAATCAGAAAGCCAGGTGGTGAGTCATTACATGCCGCCTGGCTTCCTGAATGGGACTTCCGGTACTTGGTATTCGGTATCGACGAGTACCGGAAAAAAAATATCAGTACTCGTACTCTATACCAAAATACCGGTATCGGTGCATCCCTAATTTGAACCAAAGACCACAGTTAAGCCACTCCGCTGCCTATGTATAAGGATTCATACTATTTACACATGCATAATGTACAGTTCGGGTACTTCATATAGCATTATCTATACAGTATACACTTGTATGCACTAGGCAACATGTAATAATTATACAGAAGTGTTTGCCAAAACAACCATGTACATTGCAGCTGACATATTTCTAGTTAAAATTATGAAAATAAAAGCAGATACTTAAATGTTTACTGAGGACACGGCATTCTCTTTTCATATTGTTTTTGTAAATCACCTCTGTCTTGTAAAACAGGTTAATACAAACATGTGCCGAGTGCTATAAATGTTGTAAAATGGTATTTATTTCATGCACTTTAGAGGTGTGATTAATCAATGATGCTGGTTTCCTCAATGTTATGGTACCTTCAGGATTTAATACTAAGTTTCCTATGCAACAAGTGGAATCACAGTGAAGTCAGTACCCTGATATGCATAACTGTTTCAGATCAAGGTCAGCATTAGCATCTTTTGTCTTCCTGTCATGACAGATTTCCTTTAAATAATGTGAATACGGTGTGCATGACCATATTTGAACTTGATATTCAAACTAGAGTTGTGGCTTGGCCTGTTTTGCCAGCAGGGGGCAGCAATGCATTTACCAATTTGCTGCCTGATACTTCTGTAGTAGGGTTGTAGGGCATGAATAAATAAGTAATTAATGCTTACCTTACAAAAATACAGCAAAGCAATGCATTTTATTGTGCATTATATGGTCAGTGCACTTTTAAAAGATGATGGAGAGTTACACTTACCCAACAGTTTCTTATATGTACTGGGGTCTCTATTGATGAGATTTCTGTTGCTGGGTTTGTGGGTCAAAAACACCTTTTGTGGTCATTCTAAGAGGTTCTCATTTTTTTCTAGTTGATTTTTTTACATTGATTTTTATTATAGAGAATGGTTTACGGAGCACTGTAACATGGAAATGTGAGAAGGAACAACCAAAACTTCCATGTGGACAGGAACCAGAAATTAAGGCAGGGGTATGCCTTAATGCATATAAGAAGCCAGAGGCTGGCTCAGCCTACCAGTCCCAGCATATAACTGAAATATCACTTTTGGGTGAAAAACACCTACTTTTGCTCTGATCATTCTTGAAGTGAGTCCCCCTGTCATGCTGATCAAGAAACATTTTTTAAGCACAGGCTCATAAATCTGTAAGATGTTTAGGCCCTGACACACTAGGAGATATGGTGTACCGGGTGCCAAGCTTTACCATTTTACCTCAATGACATTGTCAAATTGGGTCTGAGTCTGATACCCCAAGTAAGAATCATTTCATACGGGTGCCAGTATCTTAACACTCTAAGATCTCAGCACAGATGTTGGTAATAACACACAAGTTAATGGATTTTAGGGGTAAGTTTTGTGTTAGGTTATATGCAGACAGATAGACTTTATAATACCAACCTCCATTTTTATAGTCTTACCTCCAGTTTTTGGCAATTGTGAAGGGTGTCCAAATATGACTGTGCAATTCAATAGGTACCAGAGTTAGACCCAGTGTATCATTAATCAGTACTCTGTAACAGAGCTGGTCAGACTCTTGCTTTGCAATACAATGCTGTGTAGTGAACCTTGTGCTGAGTGGTGTGTCTGTTACTCAGCCCTACTAGCACAGGCCACTGCAGTGTGAGGGCCCGTTCACACCAGCCTCGCATTGCAGCCGGCTCACTTTTTAGTGAGGCAGGAGGGGGCATGGCGGGCCATTGAAGTGAATGGCACCGTAGCCATCCCCTCCGGCCGCAATGTGATCGCCCGCATGGGATCACAAGGCACATTGTTCCGGTGCGATCAAAATGCTGCACTATTTTGATCGCACTGGACCGGACCGCGCAGGGGAATTGCATAGCGGCCGGAGGGCGTGGCTAGGCTGCCATTCACTGCAATGGCCCGTCACGCCCCCTCCTGCGCCACTAAAAAGTGAGCCGGCCGCAATGCGAGGTAGTGCGTTCCAACCAGAATCGGGCCGGAACGCACTGCAACTGGTGTGAAAGGGCCATGAGAGCTAGTAGCGCAATTTTCACTAATAGAAAATAGAGGGCAAGGCTTTCTGAGGTAAAGTGTGCGACTTCTTGTTTGTACAGGCCGGGTGTCCGACGTGTGTAGCTAAAAAGACAAAAGGACAGGGGAAGGGCTACGCTTGTGGCGCTTCACCTGTCCTTTTGTCTTGGAGTACATTTATTAACTGTGTTCTTCTATATGCTGACAGAGCAGAGCCATGCTGCAGCCGGAAAAGTTCCCAACAATATTGTCCTGCTGCCTAAATGACAGCTGGCTCTACCCCTCTAGGGCCAGAGCCAGCTATCCCTGATCCCTTCCTTGTCTGTTTCTCCAATGAGCACTGGAGGAATGGAGGGGGGGTAAAGAAATCCTTTCGGGGAGCAGCAACAGACAGTTACGGCTCTCTGCAGGGAGAAGACCGTGAGGTGAGCAATCAGCAGTGTCACACGCCAGCTCCAAGTATTGGGAAGAGTACATTTTACACTCCCAGTAGTTCTCCTACTGTGCTGGCAGATCTCATTATCATTTGTACACTACGTTTGAACACTGTCTGTCCTAAAAAAGTGTTAACAATCTACAAGCCTTGTAAGTTAAGGAGTGGGAGCTTACTCTGTCCTAAGTCTCTCAATTAGGACATAGTTTCCTGTTACTGAAATTGAGAGAGAAGCTTGAAAAGGCCAGCTATATGGAGATATCTAAAAGGTAAGAGATATTTTTTTAAACATTTTTAGATATGCTGTGTAAATAAGAACACACAACAAACATATAGTTAAGGTTTTCTCAATTTTGACTGTGAAAGTAGAAATACAGTTTAAGTTAAGACTCGAGGTTAAGGGGTTACCAAGGTTTGGGATAAGTAGAGGATTAGGGTTAAGTGTTATGTTGGTCAGTCACAGGGCAATTGCAGATCATTTCAACCACTTTCAACTTGCTTTTGATCACACCAATGTCCAAACGGATCAATGCAATCTATAAAACTGTCTTGATCTGTCTGATTCTATTTGCAATTACAGGTGGTTGAAATGCTTGAAATTGCCATATAAAGGTAAGGATTAGAGTTTAGTTCCAGGCAGGGTTAGCTGTTAGGATAAGTCGAAAGCTGTAGAGACATGTAAGAGTTTGAAGACATGGCTGCATACATTAAGTAATCTTTGCATCTGCACAGATTCTGCTTGTTTGTGGTTATTACAATAGCCGTGAACTTGCGGAATCCGCTCCTGAAATCATGCTTGGACTATTGTGCAGGACGCGCGGTCCCCGCAACAGTCTGAACAATGCACATTAAAATGCATTGTTTTTTATGTTCAGAGCGGTTGTGTGTGTATTCGTACGGCGGAATACGTGCGGAAAACCGCTCATGTGTGAATGGCACCTAAATCTTTTCTCATTTATTTTCAATGCCCGACACAGAGGACAATTGCCCCTGAAAATAAAAAAACCTGTGTACTTCCCTCAATAACTCAGTCATCATTAAATGTATAGGGCTTGATTATCTTAAAGTGGACCTTTACCCATATCTTTAAAATAACAACAAACACACTTTTAGAAATGTTTAGTAATGACAATCTACAAACACATACTTCTAGATAATTGCCGCCTTTGTATTATTTGCATACCTTATTTTTCTTTTATTCGCAAGTCTTCTGGCAGTGGCCATGTTTACTGAGGGCAGATTACTAGATCTCCTATTGCTTCCTGGATTACTGGCTTATGTGACAAGGACATGTGACCATGCACATCACCTCAGGGGAGGAAAATGCTTTTCCCTGAGATCTCGTGGATTACAGATGAGATTTCCAAGCAATGCTTTGCTGATGACAAGGCAATCCCAGTGTGCATTGCTTTGGCAAACTGAAGTCATTTTGCCCTTACAAAGCAGGAAGGGAATGCTCTGCAAGTGTAAGTATTTCATAATCACAGCATTTCACACCTGCCATGCCTATGTTATTATTAATCATCATAATAGAGGGATGCATTGGTAGAATTTGATTTTTGAGTGTAAAGGTCAGTTTTAAGATAAGGGCTACCACAACCTAACCTGCACAGTTATTGCCATTCAATGTATCATTGTTTACAATGTGTAAAGTTTTTACAAACAATTCTTTAAATAAGTCTTTAAATCCATGGACTTGTGTTTCATATGTATGTAGCTCATATTAAAAAGCTCATATTAAAATGGAGTGATGTGCAATATATATTTCAATTGAATTACTGCATAGTCTATTGTTTGCACATGCCCTGTCTTTCCTCTGCCATTCCCTTCTATTTGCTCCTTTTTGTTTTTTAGGTTCTTCTTATGTTTATCTATACCTTTGTGACATTTTTTTAAATATTTGCTTTACTTAATAAAAGCTAATTTGACTACAGTGCATTCCTGCTTCTCACACTTTTGCACACTAATAAATAAGAATGTGTTTCTTGTCAAAACATTTTTAATTGTGTTCAGCCAGTGTTGTGATTCAGACACCCTGCAAAGCCAAGTCAGCAACCTCACATTTCTCTACTGCAGTTAAAGAGGAACTTTACCCATATCTTTAAAATAACAACAAACACACCTTTAGAAATGTTTAGTAATTACAATCTACAAACAGATAGTTGCAGATAATTGCTGTTTTTTATTCTTTGCATACCTTATTTGTATTTTCTTTCCTAGTCTTCTCACAGCGGCCATTTTTACTACGGGCAGATTAATAAATCTCCCTTTACTTCCTGGAACTCTAGCACATGTGACTAGGACATATGACCATGCACATCATCTTAGGGGAAAAATGCCTTTTGCAGTTTACAGATGAGATTTCCCAGCAATGCATTGCCGATGTAACCTTCCCAGGATGCAATCCTTGGACACGGGCTACCTCACTAATGCCTAAGAGGGCCAGGCAGTAAAAAAACAGTAGTTGTAAGTAAAAGAAAATTATGTTTATTTAACTAATCAATGTAAGATGATTTCATATCAGCATGCACAACTGAATGCTGATGTGATTTTTAGTAAAAGGGGGTAGAGGCCCACTTTAAGTGATACCGCTTGGTTACAGACTTATCCCTAAGCAGCTAACTGGGGAATAAAGCATGATCACCACACTAATAAGGTCATCACTTTATTCACCCTGTTCTTCTCCTGCCTCCAAGCTTTCATTATTATATAGACAGTACTGTGCAAAGCAGTGGACCCTTGTGCTGCCTCTTCCTCTTTGTCTAGAGGATTACAGGATGCTAATAAAGCTTATACTAGCTATATATAAAAATACATTTGATTATATTTAATAGTTACATACCTGGCTAAGCAGTGACTTTCATATTTACCTGGTTCGGCTTTAAATTAAACTCTATCCCCTAAAAGTACCATGGTTGATTAAATCTGTAAAGCAAACTCACATAAAGTTACAAAAATGTACCTGTGGAGACAGCTTTCCAACTCTTTGTGTTATGGGTTCATTAACAATGACTTCCACTTTGCAGGCATCTTTTTCTTTGGGGATGGAGAATTGTAGATCTTCTCCTGATAGGTAGCTGCTTTGTCCTTTCATCACTGTGATCCCATTATTTACTTTGATAAAAGTTGTGCTCAGAAACTTTAAAGTCAGCAGCATTAAAGCAAATGAGGGATATAAGTGACATCTCCAGCAGGGATTCATTTTATCTCTGGTAATACGTGTCCAGCATACAGTGCCTTCGGTAACAGGCTTTTCTTCTTTCAGGATTATTTTACACTGTCCGGCGTTGGCGATTCTTCAGTCATCTGCTCAACATGAAGAGCTGTCTCTTCTTCCAAAATCTGTACAACGGGCTCTTTCAAAGAGTTATGGAGCTTTAATAAAACTCGATGAAGAATCCTGACAACGCTGCACATTAATAGGCTTCTGATTTTCTAATCCTGCAAAATGAGAGGACGCAAGAAGGAAATTAACTGAAAAGTGATTATTAAAAACAACATCAAGAAGAAACAGGCCATAGTGTATGCAGATCAGACACAAATGAACAGATAATTTATAACATGTTATGTTAACATGGACAACTTAATGAGAATTTTGTAATTCTTTGTAAAATACAGTGTTTTGGGGGATTTGCTCCTTGGTGTTTTTTGAATATTAAACATTTTGAGTAGGGATGCACCGATACCACTTTTTTAAGACCGAGTACGAGTACCGATACTTTTGATCAAGTACTCGCAGATACCAATTACCGATACTTTTTCTTAAAGGGACAGGTCACATTTTTTCTAAAGCAATACAAACTCAATGCTTTAATGCCACTGGTATCGGCACCGATACCGATACTAGTATTGGTATCGGTGCATCCCTAATTTTGAGTCAATTAAAGCAGTTCTGTTTGTAACAAATTATATTCCTCCATAAAGAATAGTACAGAAATGTTTTTTTCAGCCATGAAAGTTTTTGTGATTTAATCTGTACCTTCCACACCACCAATGTTCCTTTGTTATCTGTTCTCCCTTTGCGCTTCTATATAGCCTTGTAGAATCAAAAAATTCTAGGTGCAATCCTTTTTTTTGCTCGATATTTGTGTAAATGTTTATCAAATTTATATTTTTAGGAACAAATACACTTAAATTAATTTTATGGCACACAAACAGAATAGTAATATATTAACCACTTCAAGACCAGGTGTTTAGACCCCCTTCCTGGCCAGGCCATTTTTCAGTGTTCAGCGCTGCGATACTTTGACTGACGTTTATTCCGTCATGCAACGCTGTACTGAAATTAATTTTTTTGGGGACAGATAGGGCGTTATTTCGGTGGTATTTAATCACCACTGGGGTTTTTATGTTGGGTAAATAAATACCAAACAAGTATTAAAGTCAAGTATACAAGTACAAGTCAAGTATTAAAACATTTTTTTTTTCACTTAATTTTATTGCTATCACATAAGGGATTAACAAGGGAGGGCAGCACACTTTTGAGCAGCATACAAGTGATTGTCCTTTTTTACAGCCGCCCAATCATTTGTATGTGAAAGCCGACAGGCAACTGAAAACAGTAACAGCAAGCTGTTGCAGGAGCCATGATCTTGGCTTTAACCATTTTAGGACCGCAACAGTTAAGTGGTTAAAGAGACCTTGTCACCATTTTTTTTTTAAATACAGGTAAAACCATATAGAAATAAAGTATTTAAATGCTTACTTGCAGCATTTTTTCTTTCCATAAATTATTTGTATTCACTTGCAATTTGCCTTTAAATTTTCTAGAAAATATGAATACTCCAGAAATAGTCAATTTCCTAGCACAGCCATAGCCCTCTCCTCTTCTGGGAGTGTCTACTGTCTGCGCTGGTCCAGCTCCTCCCCCCCACACACCTCCCTGCATCACAGTGGGGAATATTATAAAGCACTAGTCATTAAATGGTGGACATGGACTATGTGGCAATTCTGTCTGGACTGTGGTCGCCTACCTGCACGGGGGTTATGGCTGGCTTACAGTGGATACACAGATG